ATAAATCCTCAAGTGTCCTGCTGCACGATAAACGATGAATAAGAAAGAAAAGGGCAGTCGGCTTTCCGCGGATGTTTCATGAACCTTATAAATATTCGCTGCATCCTTGGAAAGAAAATGGGCATTAAAGGAATCTTCCACGGACCATGGACCAGTGGGCGGGACCGGAAGTTTTTGTGACGAAATGCATGGTAGGTACGGATCCACGTGTCGAACGCACGTGAACAGGATTCACTTCAAACCTTCCCATGAACGTGGATCCGTACCTACCATGCATTTCGTCGCAAAACCACTTCCGGTCCCGCCCACTGGTCCATGGTCCGTGGAAGATTCCTTTAATGAGGGAAAATAATATCTTTAACAGTTCACCGCAGTGAATTATGCTGAGAAAATAACCACACAGGAAACTGGTCATGAATGGAATTTATTAGTCAACCAGAAACACGTATGCCCGAGAAACGGATGGCAGCTCAGGAATGGTGAAAAAAGAACGTGAAAATGTTATGTTGAATATTGAAGCCTCCTCACTCGCTATCATCTTGATTAGAACGCGGAAGCAGTTTTAACACTACTTCGTTCCAAGATACAGGATATGGTGAACTTTCTTTTACAACTCTTCTTCTTTCTTTTCTTCTACAAAAAATGAGTAATTAGAAGAACGCACTGCCAAGGAAATGATTTCGTCACGCTCCATAAGACTTCCATCCCGTCAAGCCTTTCGTACGACTACTGTACCAATGCAGGAATAAAACGAAGCTAAATGCCGTTTCCTTCTTACTGATATTGAAAAGCTGCAGCGCAAAATTGAAGGACTGACAGATTGCTAGCCGATATCTCAGCCTTTATTTTTGACTGGATCGAATTTAGCTTCACCCATGCACCATATTGACGAGCAACTTCTGTAGCTGCACCCATCAAACAACACCACACACGAACAACATCCAGCAAGAATATTCAATTAGGGCCCAGCTGTCGGAGCTATCCTAAAGGCGATAGCACCGGCCAATGAGCAATCGTGTTCAAATGTGAAACTGCAAGTGCGAGAGCGTCATCAAATTTAGGAGTCAAGAATCGTACACAAACTCCTGAATTTCCTACTTTTTCATAGCATTCTCGTGAAACCCAGATACAGGGGAAGTAAGCATCAGGCGCAAAGAAGAGGTCACAGAGGCGAGAGCTCAGAACCCACCCCACCCAATGATAAAATGTCAAGGACCTGCGAGGGCGAAGGTGACAGTCCTTCCATCAATCCTGCGATCATTACCTAAAATTACTTCGCAGTTAGGAAAAATTATCAGCACATGGAGGCAGTTTTCAAACGCTATTTCTGAGCAATTTTTTAAAGACACGACTCCAGGGAAAGACAAAAACTGAAGCATAACATTTTCCGACGCCCTCTATGAATGTCAATAAAATTGGGTCGTGAGCAGCAATCCCCCAATGGCTTTTTACATTGTTAATCATCTAATATTTCATTCAATTATTAGTACATATCCAATCACTTTCAAAACTAGATCGCATCTCTTAGCAAATGCAGTAAGTAAGACCCACAATCGGTTTATATCGTCTTCCCTGTGTCACAAATTATTATGCGTCCAATCCCACATACACGATGAGACTCGAGGGATTGACGAAATAATAAAGGCTTCATTGAGAAAGAGCGAAACGAAACGAATTATCTTTGTTATATATGTATTTTTTTATCTCCAATTGTGGTCTTCCGACGCGCCATGGACGGCAATTTTCCCCCATTTATTCTCGATTCGCATTCTTGGCTCGTATGAATCCCTAAAATATGCAGCGAGTAAAAACTATCTCTGCAACCTACCGATAGTCAGAGCTACTGATGCTGTGAGAATTATCAAGAACGTAATAGTCCCACTTCCTAAGGAAGTTTTCTGCTTTTTTTTCTGGCAATCTCAGGGCCCCACAGAAAAAATGATCATCGATTCTATGCTACATGCACGTGCCCCTACAAAACGCAACAAACCGTTTTGAAAAAGCGGCTCAAGCCTCTAAGGACTTTCCTGGTTAGCGGTTCTCCCGCACTACTCTGTGACGCTAAGGGATGCGACCACTGCGACTACAGAACAGTTTACCCTCATCGCGTGATAATTGTATTCCTAGTAGTCGTGGAAAGCGTTTTTGAAAGCACCTACTAGAGACAGCAATAAGAAGAGTACGAAGGTCTCTGATTAGCACAACAGGCACTGATATGGAGATGATAGTACTAATCATTTGATCGAATTGCCTTTATGAATTCTCCCTTGCAACGCACGGAAGTGCAAGCTCTCGTGAAGCCCATATAATTGGATAGCTCTAACTATTCATATCTAACCAAAGTGCATATCTACTGTTTAGAAAAACAGGACAGCTTTTGCAGTCATCTTTCTCTAACTCTCTACTTATTCGTGTTTACTGAAAGGAAGTTTTTTCCGCTAGTTACCCCTGGTCAGTCAACCGAGAAAGCTAATACGGAAGGACAGGTGCGGTACATGTCTGATGAGAGAAGAATGAAGTCGGAAAAAAATGAATGTCGGGTAAAAGAAGAGAAGAAAAACAATGCAGCACTTGAAGTCCAGTACAAGTCCATGGCAATGCTTTGAGGGACAAAACACAAAAACTCCTTAGAAATCATTCCCTCAGAAGCCCTATGGCATTGATAAATAAATATTATTACATACTATGGATAATATTCAGCTTCTAGAAAGGAGTTTCAGGCCATTTTCGGTTCATTTGGCCCTGCCATGGACCCATGTTGGATTTCGAGCACCGCCTCATCCTTCTCATTTGGTCCTACCCCTTGATAATCACGTCTAGACAGAACAAACGTCGTCCACAGAGGAAGCCAGTTTATTCTGGAGCAGCAGTTACACGGATGATAAAGTGCCTCCTAGAAAAGGCTTTAGAGACCTTTCCCGGTTCTCAAACTTCGTCACCAACCTTCTCCGCCTCCTGTGTCGATTTACCTTCCAAAACGCCACAGGCTCCGTCCCACGAGCAAACAATGGCTATTTCCTCGGAAGTTCGAACAGGAAACGGACAACAACTCTCACACACACAGCAGAAGCGTGTGCCACATACAGAGCTGAACACTTCAGCTGTGGCTCTTCTATATCGACTTTTCAATGATGTTTTCCTAGCAACGCACACGTGTCACGTATGTGTAAATCTCTGTGAAATGACAGTGACCCACAGGAAACAGCGATCAGGATCAATCCAAACATCAGAATCCTTTCCAAGGCTTAGGATCGAAAAGAGTGTCCAGTCTGAGATCTGAACGTATATTGACTCTTGTCAAATCGCATTCCGCAGGAACAGTTCGGTCCCTCGATGGCCTGTCCACATGTTTTTCTCATTTTAAAGCTGAATCCAGCTCGATCGATTCAGTTGGAAAGCGCTGAATGCCATAGGCATAACCCATTACATTGGCGATTCAATGGTTGTCAAGGGAGGTCATTCGTCCTCTTTTGTAGGGAAATAGATTGAAGCTGGACAAAAGAGGAGGATATTAGCCAGAAATGCCATAAAGAAGGATGATTAACGATCGGCATTAAAACGGGAAGGCTTTGAAAGAATGATGTCAGGAGCTATGTGGCTAAGCAGGAGAATTAGAGGCTGAATGGCCATCAAATCAAAGTGAAAGAACGACTTTGACACTAATCTCAATAAACAGCCCGGTGACAATCGGTAAGTGGGCACGGAGCCAGCGAACGACGACGAAAGCAGAAGATGTGGATTAACGGCGATGGACAGCGCTGCCAACGTCGGCTAGCAAAGCAATAAACATAGCATCAGGAGCCTTAAGACTTGCTACGAACGCTACAGAAGCTCACACAATCGCTAAAAATAGCCCTATCGCGCCTAAAATGAGCACGTGCACAATATTCACGGTTGCGATGTCAACTCAAAGGAAGGGGTCTTATAGCGGAAATCGGCATGAAAGCAGCACAAAAATCGATAATAAATTGAAATTGAAATGCAAAAAAAATCCATCGTTCGAATTTTATAGAACACAAAGAGGCACGGCGAAAATTAATTTCAAGAGAGCTTTTCGAGGCTTCTTTGTGCTATGCAACATTTAGGTCCAGACGAGGCTCTGCGACAGCACAATACTGAGAAAGTAATTGGACGTTAACAAAGGGAATGGCAAATTTGCCTGAAGGAGACAGCACAGGGTTTTTCCAAGAAAACTGCGTTAGACGTTGCATGCCTGGTTCGACCAAGGAAAGTCCTTTATATTCGCTAAGATCGATAAGGTCTTCAGAACGCAGTTAATCGAATTGTAAGCTCTTCTGTTCCTTTCCAACGCCGAGAAGTGTCTGTCTGTGCCGTGCCCCGGAAGTAAAAAGCCCATAAAACTCTCGCCACTGCCGTGCTTCTCGGCGACAAAGAAAGAAGCTTATCGTTGCGATGGCTGGACTGCATTTGATAGAGAACGCGAAACGAGCGATGCAAGTTCACTTTGATACGCTTATGACGACTTGAGGAAGCCGGCCACGTGACGATTGCAGGCCAGACAAGCGACTAGGGTAATTACACACAGTGGGAATCTCACGGCGGGCAAAAGCGAGCCATCGTCATCATTGACGTCAAATGCATGAGCCCGTTGAATGGCTCTTCTGCCCTTTCCCTATTCATTATGCGACGGCTTTCAATATCAGGAAACTTCGACAGCCAGCACCGGCGCAGGAATTTCTAGTTCCCACATGCGGAGTAATTAGGGGTATCATCCCGCGAGCGCCGTCATAAGGAGGATATGAGGTGACAAAACGATCGAAAAACAGCTGCTCAATTGGATTCACTCGCGCTCGCGTACGCAACACAGCCTCTGCACTTGTGCCGCTTCTTTCAGCAGTATTAAACTGATCGCTGTTGCCCTCAGGCTCGCAGATATCGATCGCGATCGAAGTTACGTGGGAAGCGAATCCGAACAAGAAAAAAGAAAAAAGGAGTCAAAAGCGAAACAAACAAGAGCCATGACCACTTCAAGCACTCACCTTGTGTCTGTCCATTTTGTGGGATTGTAAGTGACACAGAAGGTGTGAGCGGCTGTGCCGCTGTGGTGTCGTTCACGGAGCTGACGCGAAATCGGCCGGCCATTGAGCGGATGGCCCGCTTCTAGCTCGTGCTCACGGCCACACCCCGCCCGCCACGACCATCGCCACCCGGCCACGCCCCCTCGCACTCGTCGTCGCTGCCATCGTTGTGTCGCATTCGCTTGAAGGTACCTAGCCACGTTGTCGGAAAGTGAAGACAAATGGCTGGCTCGCAGTGACTTTCATAGGACGCTAGTGCGCGCTAAATTTAGCGCAAGATACTAATCAGTGCTCTGTTTCGTCTTCACACACGCTCTTGAGGCCCGGAAGGGGTAGCGGCCTGGCATTTCGAAGTTTATGATAGTATAAGCGGCCTTCACCAACGTTTCTATATTTGACTAACCATGGTTATCCGGCCGAGTATGGCCACGATTTGGCAATTGAACGCAGGATGATGGCGTGAAGACTTCTGAAGATACAGTAATGGTTGCATTGCTGACCGTTAGTAAGAAGCGGGACTGTGCTACTTCATTCTGGCGGAATACGGCCGTAGGACAGGGGCAGATCTTAAGAGTTTAGCGAAGAATCTCTGTCTCGAGTAAGTGGGAATGTCGGACAAAATCTTAAGGGAAAGAACTAATGCTAGAAATGGCAATGGTAAAGGATAATGCCATTAAGGTGATCGATATTTCGGAGTAGCTATTTGAACCTTCCCTGAGCTCCTTGTGCTTCCTATAAGCTGCAGTTCCATCACCGTAAAATAGTTATTGCTTGGTCATCTGAAGGGCAGAACCACATATGCTGGGATTGCTACAGGAAGTGCAACTGCATTACTGACCAGGAAAGGATAATGGGTCGATGGCGGTGCACGTGCAGTAAGGCCTTCATTGTTGAATGCGTTTTGGATGCTGATCTTGAATTTGTTTTCAAAATCTGCAAATTGCAAGATTTTCTGAGCAGAATAGAGCAGCGGTTGTGGTTCAGGCTCACGGGCGAGAGGTCGTAGGATCGATTCCCTGGCGGGTTCTCTTTTTTGCCTTCGCTGCAAATGGATGAAAAAGGCTCCCAACTACCTTACTCGATCAATGCTTGCCTGTAGTTACCCGTGCAAAGACTTTGCGAGGAGTTTCTAATCAGTTTGGGCGGTACTTACTAAGACTGCACATGGAGCCCACAGAACTCTTGGCAGACGTTTTTGCAGCAACAAGTGCGATATTCGTGTCCGGAGATGAAAATATCCCTGGACAAAATTTGTAACCAAATCAACTGCAGGGAATCGATCCTACGACCTCTTGGTTAGCTCGGACCACTACCGCTGCTCTACTTCGCTTCATAACTCCATTCAGAAAATCGATTGGCAGATTTGGAAAGCAGATTCGAGATCAGCGTCCAAAAACGCATCCAACAGTGTAGGTCTCTTTGCATATGGCCACTTCGACCCATCATCCTTTCCTGGTGAACTCTATTTGGGTATACCATGTATTTTCGGGGGTTTTAGACCCTGAAGCCAAATAGTTTTTGCTTCAACATGGAACTATTCAATCACGAATGACGGGAGTGCATCTATACAGAAGCTTATTGATTATTACATCCAGATTCAGTCTAGGTTCCTGCTCAGTTGTGCGACCCTGTTCCCGAAGAACAGCTTTTCCAGCCTGGGCAAGGCGCTGTTTAGATAATCATGATGATTTTTAAGGCAAACTAGTGGTGTTGTACGCCTAAGTTTTCTTACCACCACATTTCGATTAAATGAAAAGATGACATCTTGTTCGTTTGAGATGCGCTGTGAAGCCGCTGCCCGGCCAAGAATTATTTAGGATGGGCCATGAGCCCGCTGTCCGGTCTTGTTTGAAATGTGACTTTGCGTGAAAAATTAAGCTCCTCAAGTTTTTCTCACGTACAAAACAGCCGAAAATGTCAGAACAAATGGAAATAGGCTCACCAAGAAGGTTCATTCTATAGGCACATGGATTTCAAAAATCAGCTGCCCATATCAATATATTCAATCAGTAGACCATATCACAAGGATTTCAGGACCTGAAAAGGCTACAATTAACGAGCATCGATATGAAGTCTAATAAATGCGATAGAACTTGAGCAAGGAAGCGAGAACGTTCTGGAATCAAGAGGAGCGTACATTTTTATATGCAGAGCTTACATAGATAAAGGCTTCTGAACTCGTCAAGTGCCATTAATATCAGGTTGGGCGGTAGTTCTTAAGGCCCTGAGTCCCTCAATTTATAGTTCGCCCACGCTATTTCACTCGGGGCAAAAACATACCTCGGCCCTATTTCGTTTGGGTGGACATTGAATGTGATTATTGCGGAATTTGTGACGAAAAAGTGAGATGGTATATCGCACAATGAATTCATTGAAATGCTTCAGAAACTGCGCCTACTCAATCGGGTCAGGGCCTTCAATTAGGCCTGTTTGAGTAACATATTTAATTCAATCTAGATGCGCTCTGCAGTCGTTTCCATCAGATTGCAGAGGCGTTGGATTTGATACAACATTATTTCAACGTGACCAACTTCCCCTGCACTGCCCAGAGAAATGTCTTCATTGGCGAGCTGCTTCCAGTCCACCTAGGTAGAGGTCTGGCAGACCTAGTTTGGTCCTGGAGAAAAGCCCAAGTGGGCGCCGTGTGAACACGAGCGAGTCTTCTCGCACATCACCGAGCATTTTCCAAGAATATCAGAATATTTTGCAAGCAGTATTTTGAGGGAAACGGACGACTTGCTTTCAGGTCGACCCACCCTTTTTGGAGCGAGCCAGATGAAACTGAATACTCAAGGTAAACAGCACTCGAGTTCAGTAAAAGGAATAGGATAGCTCCATGAAATGAACAATGGCGCAATGCTGATGTTGTGATCGTAATGGCAACGAGGGAAATTATTTCGAACAGGATTCAATCTCAAGATTTTTTTCGGGT